GGACAGCCTATGTGATCGTGACAACGATCTTGGCGATGATATTCCCTTTCTTCAACGCCATCTTGGGTCTCATCGGAGCGGCATCGTTCTGGCCGTTAACGGTTTACTTCCCGATCGAGATGCACATCGCCCAATCTAAGATCAAGAAGTTCTCTTTCCGGTGGACGTGGCTGAAAATCCTCAGCTGGCTCTGCTTTATCGTGTCCATCTTGCAGCGGTTGGATCCATCCAAGGCTTGATAAAGAGTGTCCGGACGTACAAGCCCTTCCAACCGATCCATTAATGACTGAATTCGTCTTCGTGGGGACTTTTCGGACAAATCCTTATTCGGAAAAAAGCATGTAATAGTTTTTGTTTTTCAAATAAGATATTGTCTAGACGATTCCATGTGAAGTTTTTGTTTTGCTCCCACCAATCACTTGGTTGCTCTATCCACATTTTCCAAGCCAAAATGGCATAGATTGGTTTCGTTCACGAACTAACCCGAAACCGAAACCAAAACCAAATGGGTGAAAATATGAACAAGAACAAGGACAAGGCAGTTGTCAGTGCAATCCTAACATTTCCAAAGGATCAGATTCAATGTCCCATACATTTGAATAAATAGCAGTAAGAATCAATACGTTTGAAACCGAATCTGTAGCTATAACACAATACAACAATTTAAAACTACAATGACAAAGAACAGATCATTGAATCTTAACATCGATGCTCTATTTTCAGTTCATTCCACCCTAAAACCAAGAACAAGAGCTGTTATAAAACACAGTTGAGGTCTTTACAGAGATCTGTCTGACAAAAAAAGAACAGATTTTTTTGCTCCTCAAAACACAACTCATGTACACAAACATATTTTATAAGAGAAACACGCAAGCAACAACGTATCCAAGCCATGTAACTGTACAGAGAAGATCAAAAGCGAAAGCAGCGATCAACAAAGCGACATAAGGAAGAGTACCCAATTCGTATCTGTGTCGGTGGAAGAGACACAGATATATCAATCTCAAAACAAGAACGAGTTGAACCATCGTCTCCAGAGAAAGAGGAGATATGAGAACAGATGATGAAAGAGGAGCGAACATGACGAATCTGCGGCGGAGGTTCCAAGGCTGCGACTTTGGCGGCGGCAGAGAAATCATGGATTCCTCTACTAAGAAAAAATCTACGACTGATATGGAAAAAACTATAGATCAGAGAAGTTTATCTAAAGAAAGGATAGAGATTTGACGATATTGACGACTACTAATGCAACTTACTTGCTTGCGTAGTTCATCCTCTATTGCTACTCTTGATTGGAGTTTGCGTCTCCGACCATTTGTTGTCGGGGATATGACAAGAAATAGGCTCTCATCATCAGTTCCAAATTCTTTAGCTTACTCACTGAGGCCTCAATCCAATTATAAAAAAATACTTTCCCCACCCTAAGATCCTACTATAGTAGCAAATACTTGCTTCAAAAAAAAAGAGATAAGCAATTCACCAGGTAAATCAAGGGGGAGGAGGAGGAAGAAGAAGATGAAGGAATTGGGGTATTGGTTAATGTTGGTGGGCTCACCGAGATTATTGTCTGTTTGGTTTGGCTTCTTCGACATCTGGGCTCTTCGCCTCGTCGTATTCTCCAAGATCACCAGTTCAGTTCTCTTCCTCCTTCTGAAAAATCTCAATCTTTGTTTAAAATTTGAACAATTCTTCATCGATTTTATGTCTTCGGGTCATATTTCTTCTCAAGTTTTGCGCTTTCCTTTGATTTCTTTCATCAATCTATCGGATTGTGTTCTACTGTTAGATAGTGAGAAGCCCTTTATATCCAAGTATCTACGTTGACCTCCTTCAATCTTTGAGTGTCCAGTAATGGAGATTAGTATCTTGTCACAATGATCTTTTGAGTATTGAGGGAATATGTTTTGTTGCGTCAAGAAGAACCCTGTCAGGTTTAATGAAGGTAGTGTGTTGATCCGAGTTTCTCTGGAAATTAGGGTTTTGTGGTGCATTTAGACAGCCATTGTGTCTAGATCCGACAAGAGTCGAGGTTGAGATCTCAAAACAGTGATATTTGGGAGAAATCAATAGTCAAGTCGTTTAGATGTGAGCAAAAATGTTTTTTTTTTTAGTTTGATCTAAAGATATTTGCAAGTGCATTGTAAAATTTGAGTTTGATCTAAGATTTCTGATTTAACAAAGATTATATGATGGATGAATTCAAATTCAATGCCTCGGTGCATTAACACTTGTAACGACCCGAGGCCGCTACGGAATGATAGAACTATCCCTACACACCAACACGAGACCTTTTAGCATGTTTTGTCCTCACTCGCACACATCCCGGAAAGTACTTCCCAGGAGGTCACCCATCCTAAGACTACTCTAATGCCAGCATGCTTAACTTTGGAGTTCTCTCGAGATGGACAACCGAAAAGGTAGATGCATCTTGTTGCTATGAGTAGCTCAATTAATTCCTTTAAGTTATCTTAGACTGTGTAGTCCCATACCTACACCGCCCTCGGATCCCTCTCATTCCGTTGCGTTCGATTCATCCCTGTACCCCTTACCCAGAAGCTCGTCAGGAGCCGTCCATGTCCATGCCTCTCACACCGGCGATCACTCCCCGCCCTCCTACGGTATCCTGAGCTGTCACAACACTGTTGGTAGTAATGATCATTTCTTCTTGCAGAGTTCAATGTGTAACCATTTTTTTTGTGGGATCTGAATGTGTTGGTGAATAAATAAATATACATAAAGTGGCTTGAAATGCTCAGAGACACACAAACATTTGGTTGGATTTGTTGAATGGATAGTTGAAATGAGTTTCAGACATTGAAAATGAATAATAGAAGAGAAAGCAATATGAGATTTCATGTTCTGTTTTCTTTGGACATGCAGTAACATGAGTAACAATATGGATCATTCTTCTTACAGGTTTTGGGGTTTGATTCATGTTTACTTTCACCTCACTAAGAAATATGTTTCTTGTTTCTGTAATATCATGTCCGTTATTGAAATCTATTTTTCTTTGCTCGCCATTGATCCATGATGTTCTAAAGCATGTCGGATAACTTTCTTTTTGCTGTAAAAAAATACAGTGACTGAAGTTCACGGGCGGACATTTGGAGTATGGACGCTTCTGACTTGCACTTGTGCTTCCTTTGCGCGTTGAGAACAAGCCCTTATACTTGGCCACACTTTTGTCGTCATCTATGCCCTCTGCCATTTTCTCACCGAGTACCTCTTCTATGACACAATGGCCATCATAAATCTCACCACATTAGCCTTCTTCGCAGGTAAAAAAAAAAACTCGTCTTAAATCCTGTCGCGAAACACTTTTCCTGCATCGGATTGGTTATTATAAATCTCCCGAAATTTGAAACAGGTACTTCGATCGTGTGGATGCTCTCGCAATGAGATTCACATCAAGAATCACACCCCAAGAGTTCTTGATGTTGCTTCTGTTTTGCTCTCTCTCGAGCCATTGTCTCTTGTTGAAGGGTTGAGCTTTATAAAACATCTTTGAGGTATTTCAAAGGCCGAGCTAGTTCTTGATGTTGCTTCTGTTTTGAGGTAATTCACGTTGGATTATGTGACTCTATATGTGTTTGATTTAAATGGATTAATTTGTGGAATGATTTCTAGTTGTGTTAAGAGCTTCGGGATCAAGAATGCCAAAATGAGTTGGCTCGTGAACCAACTCGCGAGTCAGTCTATATTTTCCTGATCTGGGCTAAGAAATTTTGAGCCTGAAAAAAAAATGAGCCAAACGAGCTAGCTCGGCACGAGCTCGACTCATGGCGAACTGCTCAGCGAGCCCAAAACCAACTCACGAGCCAGAAAAAAAATTATTTTTATTTTTTAGTAAGTTTAAAAAAGATTTATTAAATTTAATTTTTTTATTATTTTAAAATATATTAATTATTATTTTTTAATTATTTTTATAATAATTATTATAAAAATACTTACTACTTTGGGTGTTTATATATACTTCTTTAGGTTCTGAATAACCATTTGATCAATGGGATTAAATCAACTAAACTAAATTAGTTTTTATAAATCCATCTATTTTTTTGAAGTCATCACACCATATCTACATGAATAATTATATTCGATTTATATTGTTAATTGATATATAGTTAAATGATATTTTAGATGCCAAGGAAATAATCGAAATTCTGAACTCCACTCAATTTTAAAACAGAAAATTACACATTTATGTATGTACATGTAAACATATATATATATATATATATATTCACGTGTATATGGAGAGAGAGATGACAAATGACATAAGAAATCCGAGGAGAGAGAGTGTGAGTGTACATTGAGATGATGAGGAGAAACGTCTCTTTGAACTATTCTTTCGCCTCACGAAACCTCAAAACTGCACACTTTTTTTTCTGACATTTTTCGTCACATAATTAATAAATGCATTAATTACCCGAATCCAAATAATGTTAAAATACCATCAATACTGACAGTAATCAAATGAAAAATCTATTATTACTATTTCTGTACTATATATAGTATAATAGTAATTAATGTATGCCATTGTACATCACATATATATATATATATATAACCAATTTATTTTTTTTGAATCATTGCTTGATGCAATGGAATTTTTGGGTGTTTGTTCTGGAAGGCATTTTAACAAAATGAAAATAAAAATGTATTCAATTTACTATACGGATCTAAAAAAATTCAACAATATATATATATATATATATAAACACTTATTACAAAATAAATATCCATGAAACTAAAAATAATGTAAAAACTAAATAAATATAACATTTACAAATAAAAACAAAACAAAAATCCAAAATATCCGATTAGAAATTTAGAACGACGTGAGGTGACCCGAATGGACGCATCTTTCGAAGTCTACGTCTACAAACCTCGATACATCTCATTTCTGTGATTGCGTGAACTGTTGACTAATGATCTCTTTATCCAATAATCTCGTCACTTTTCTCATTACACAATCAAACTAGTATATACATATATACATATATATAAAGCACAAGTCTGAAGTTCACTTACTGTCTCTTTCCTCTTTCTCACTATTGTCTTCTCTCTTGTGGTGGTGACTCTTCGTCCCAAAGGATTTCATCAGTGTAGTTTCCTTCCTTACCAGTTTTATGTCTCTCTCCTCTTAAACATATCTACACACAAAGCATATAACAGTTATTTTTGAAGGTTGAAGGAAATTATAAAAGAAAAAAAGAGCATTTCCTTTTGTGGCTTTTTTTGGTTTCCTCTCTCTCTCGGTCATCTTCAAGAACATGGGTTTGTCTCAGAACTGCGTGATCAATCTCTTCATGATGCTTTTGTTGCTCTCAGGCTTCACTCACCGAGGTTTCATGGCTCAAGGTAGTGATTAAGCCATCCTCTCTCTCTCTCTCTCTCTCTCTCTTATACTGCAAGTGAAGTACCACCATTGGTTAACGTTATCTGTACGTTCTTTGCTGTTTGCAGGACGAGCTGTTCCCAAGTTTCTTGAAGATAATGCCCAGGTATGCCCTTGAATTCTCTTTATATATATATATGTTAACAATAATGATAAATATGTGTGCAATGATGAAGAAAGATTCAAACTTTATGAATTGGGTGCGTTTGAATATGTTTTTTTTTTATAAACTGAAAGCGTGTGTCGAATGAAAGGTGGAGGAGGAGATAGGGTCGATGCCACCGAAATGCGAGAAGAGATGCGAGACATGCAGGGAGTGCGAGGCGGTGCAAGTGCCCGTCACCTTTCAGGATGATTTCTCCAACTACAAGCCCTTGAGCTGGAAATGCAAGTGCGACAACTCTCTCTTCAATCCTTGAGAGGCCTCACTCTCTCTCTCTCTCTCTCTCTCTCTCTCTCTCTATACATACATACATATATGTATGTGTTGACTTGTATTGGTTTGGTTATATTTCTTGTGAATAGTGAAAATTAGATGCCTCGTTATGCGGGAGTGTGTTAAAATCTTCAATACAATGAAGATATCAAAGCAAAACATCAGTAACTTTATTTCTTGGAAATTGGGTAACGTGTTGGATTCTCCAAATGTATCATGTCAGTCATACACACACACTACGTACGTATACATGCATCTAATCAGGTTAATATACAGCAGATATGTCTAAATTGCCTATATTTAAAAAGAATTAAAAAAGTACAGTTTGTGTTATTCGTGTATTGCGGGGTCATAGTTCCGATTTTGGAAAGTGACGGGGTCAAATTAGAATATAGAGGAAGCTTGGAGGTCAAAATTAGAAAACTCGAGTTCTTTTTTGTGAGTGAGAGATCGAGTGTCCAACGTGTTTTGATCGGTTCGGTTTAATGTCGGATACTAAACGGGATCATATACCAAAGTCGAAATTGGTACCGGACCGTGGGACACGGGCAGTATTTTGTTAGATTCAACTTATTCTAATAAAAAAAACTTATTCTACTCTTTAATTGAGATATCATATTATTCAAAAGTTTAACCTATACATAACCATTATATATGTTAACCACTTTATGAAACTAAAAATATCGAATTTTTCTTTCTTTTTTTTTTAAATCTTAGACAGAATACCGATCATATTCATTATTAGATAACTTTTGTTTTTCAATTCTACACTCGTTTACTCCACTATATTTTCCTTTCAAATTCACATCATTGATATAATATGTGAAATAAAAAAGCGAAGGCATTTTATTTTATTGTTTTATACATAATTATTAATGAGGCATAATTAATTGGCCGTAATGGCTATCTTCATGCCGGCGGCGCAATGGCCGGGGAAGCCACAGACGAAATAAGAAGTGCCATTCGAGAGAGTGATTTTGTCGTCGCCCGAATTGTAAGTCGTCGCATCGCTTGGGATATTGCACGACTCGTAATCGCTTTTGCCCACCTCCACCACGCTGTGCATCGTTACATCGTACTTGAATTCTGCCAACCCAAAAAAAAAATTTATTAAAAATATATAAAAAATAATAATATTTGTGATTTTATGTCTTGGGTTTGAAAATATACATACATACATGTGTGTGTGTATATACGTACCAAGAACGTCACCCGCCTTGAAGGTTTTGCCATTAGGCCAAGCCGAAACGCCGAAGAACCAACCCGAACTGTCTCCGACAACATAGTTTGTGGACAGTGCCACTTGGCTTTGCAGCAGCACGCACACACTCATTGCCGCAATGAACACCCTTGTCATGTTCTCCATCTTTGATTATTATAAAAAATAATAATTATTATAAGAAAATTGAGAAATTTAAAGAGAGGATTATTGTCTATCTAGATTTGATATTGAAGAAAATGGTTTACAGATCTATTTATAAGGGATTTTTCTACTTGTTTGTTTGTTCAAAGGAAGTGTTCAATTAGTTACCATAAATATTTAGGCCAAAACCCATTTTTGTTTTCAATATTTAGTCATTAATTATGTCTAATGTGATTATCTCCGGTATGTGTTTCTTCATGTTCTTTCCATAAAAAACCATATTATAAAATTTTAGATGGCGTTCCAAAATATGAAATAACATAATCGCCGCAAATAGATTATCCCAGAGTAAGTAATTTAATTTTGTAGAAAAACATTTTTTACAAAAAATAAGACCAAATTTGGATTCCATTTTTTTTTTGTTAATTAATTTAAATGTCTATTGGTTTTAGGAATGTACGCATTCTTCCCTTTAATTAGCGTTGCTAAATATTATATCTGGAACTGATTTTTATATCATAAAAGTTTGACCAACTATATTTCTTTTAATCTAAAATTGGTTTTGAATTAATTGTTCTAATTGGTAAGAAGTTATCCGTTAGATTTTCTAAATTTTCTAATCCATTTTTAACATATATTTTTTCTCACATTATAAACTAGGAAATTAGGGTTTGTCCACAAAAAAATCCAACTTTATAGAAAATAGAAGAAAAATAGCAAGTGGAGTACTTAACCAATCTTTGAAGATTAGTTCTATGAAAATAGCCTTTTAACTTTCTTATCCATTTTCCTACAAAATTAAATAAAAGATTTTTGGCCCAACCTTCAAGTCAACACATCTCTCTTCAGTTGCATTTTACTATTCTCCCTTGCCATAAACTTGGCAAACAAACAGCATTATTTAATTTTGAAATTTAATATTATTGAATTGTACTAAAACATGAGAGTAATAATCCCTAGGATTTGTATTTTTAGAATATATAAAATCTCATACGGAATCCTTATATATTTAACTTATTTGTTATAGATGACATTGTAAAATTTAAAGAAAAAATACTTTTGGACATGGAGATGACCTACAATTGATATTTTGTGTATAAAGTTCGATCGTTGACGCAGTAGAAATAATATATATAAATATAGCCCAAAAAAGCGTCTGTTTTTTTTTTTTTTTTTTTTTTTTTTTTGCAGATTTAAGAGTTTCAATTTCAAAATTTAATATATATATAAATAAAATATAATAAATTAGATCGTTGGTTGGTTGGTTGTCGGTCCCGCGGTTTTTTCTTGGAGTTCACTTGAATTCTTCGATCCTTGAAGAGATGTTTCGATTTTTTTTTTAAAAGAAGCAAGCAGGAAATTTTGTGTCTATATATAGCGAGGAGATTCTCAATTTGTTGCAAAACACAGGCAAAGTCTCCAAGAACAGAAGAACTTAACTCGGACAATGTACTGAACCGATCTTGTTTCTGGAAAAAGTTCGAATCTTTGTCTGAATCATCCGCTAATTCCATCTGGGTTTGATTTGTTTTTTTGTCGTATTTGCTTCAGTCAGAGGGAAAACATGGAGGTTTCCAAGAGAGATAACGCCATTGACAATGCAGAGGTAATCATCATTCAGTAGCTTAACTTCGAAATGTGTTTCAGAAACTGAAAACTTAATTTGATTCACCTTCTCTTTTAAAGCTTCAATGGCGAATTTAATGGCTAAGAAGATCTGTAGTTGTTGATCTACTTAGGGTTTTTGCTCTTTTCTATGACAGGTCTCTGTTTTGAGGGATGGAGACGTAAAACGTGTAGCGGAAGGAGACGAAACGATAATCTCGAACTCAGATTTCTCCGATGGGCTGAACGGTTGGAACGGGAGAGGAGGCTGCAAGGTATTGTTGCACGAATCAATGGCGGACGGTAAGATATTACCGAAAACCGGGAAGGTTTTCGCTTCTGCTACGGAGCGAACGCAGTATTGGAACGGTGTTCAGCAAGAGATCACGGGTAGAATCCAGAGAAAACGCCTCTACGAGGCTACCGCCGTTGTTCGGATTTACGGGAATAACGTCACAAACGCAAACGTTCAGGCTACTCTATGGGTTCAGAACCCGAATCAACGTGAACAATACATTGTCATTGCCAAGTCAGTTCCTTTTTCTAACGTTGTATCCGCTGTCTGGTTCTTCCTTGATTTTCTTCGAACCATTCGCTTACCCGAATCTGAATCTTGTTTCTTCTTGCAGTGTGCAGAGTACGGACAAGGAGTGGACAGAGCTGAAGGGCAAATTCCTTCTAAACGGCTCCCCGTCCCGTGTCGTCATATACCTCGAAGGCCCTCCTCCAGGAACCGACATTCTTGTCAACAGTTTAGTCGTAAAACATGCAGAGAAAGTCCCTCCTTCTCCGCCTCCGACTATCGAGGTTTACCTCCCGAGGCTCGGATTCGTGTTTTCATCGTCTTTTTCGTACGATTTTATCGATCGAATCGATCTCTGTATTTTCGTCTTGTAGAACCCTGCTTATGGAGTAAACATACTCGAGAATAGCCAGCTAAGCGATGGCACGACAAAGGGATGGTTCCCGCTAGGGAATTGCACGATGAATGTCGGGAACGGCTC